CGGTTCTGGAGGCTGAGGTCTGAGGTCAAGGTGTTGGCAGACTTGGTTCCTCTTGAGGTCTCTCCCCTTGGCTTGGAGACAGCTGTCTCTTCCCTGTGTCTTTTCACATCATTTCCCTTGGTGTGTGTTTCTGTGTTTAAATTTCCCCTTTTTATTAGAATACCAGTCATATTGGATCAGGGCCCACCCTCATGGGCTCATTTTCATTTGACTGCTTCTGTAAAGATCCTATTTCCAAATAAAGTTTTATTCTGAGGTTCTAGGGGTCAGAACTTCAACACATGAATTTGGAAGGGATACAATTCAACCCATAAGAGGGGACATGTGTCTTTTCTCATTGCCCATCATCTGGACCCACAACATGAGGTTGAGTGGGAGGCAGAGTTCTCCTGTGATAGAAACTGAGAAGCTGACATTCTCAGCTCCTCTGTACCAAACACAAAGGCCTGTGTCCAGCTTTGACCAGAGAGATGCCTGCCCAAGACTGTGAATTGATTGCATCTACCACCACAAAGAGGTGGCCCAGTGCAGAGTACTCTACTGGTGATGGTGGCTGCCTCCAGTTCCTTGGGACAGCGGTGACCTCCAGTGCAAGGGGGTTGTGAAATGAGGGGCCCAGAGTGCTGGGGCAGTTTGACAACACTTGCTCTGCAGCCACCCACTCCAACATCAACACAGCAGTTCTCTCGGCTCCTGACTGCCTAGCAGTGTTTAATGTCTTGTTTTAGTCCAGGTCCTATCTGCCCAGCAGCTCTTTTCTCTTCTAGGCCTTTCTATGCACGTCTCTTGGCTGCAGTGCTCAGAGTTTCTGTTAGACCAGTTACCTTCAATCTCAGGCTGTTTGCTCTGAGGGCCTTCTTTGGTGGTGGGAAGGATGCTGACTTTGGATTTGGGTTCAAACCCTATCTTACCAGATATGTAACCTTGGGGAGTTATTTAAACTACTGAGGTCTCAATCTTCTCTTCTCTAAAACAGTGGCAGCCACACCCTCTTGTTTTGAGGATTCAATGAGCTAATGCAGTATACCGTAAGCATGTCACACAGTCTGGTCCCTACATATAAGTGTGTCCTCGGTGAGAGCTATGCTTCCTGGGAGCCTTAGAACCAGGGTCCTCAGGGTACACACTGGGCTGTAGATGAGACCAGCTCAGCAGGTGACAAGGGAGATGAGCTTCTCCCCATGGCTGGCAGAATTGCACAGAGTCAGTTTCCATGGGGTTCACTCCACTGCTGCCCGGTCACCCCAGGTCTGCAGGGAAGCACCAGGCAATCAACAAAGACAGCCTGGGTCCATGTGGTATTTAGCCTCCAGAAGCTGCCCCTCCTCTGGACTAAGTGCCTGGCTTCTTTGTCCCCAGTAATTCTGAGGCACCCTAGTAAGAAACTGAATACCTGAGAGGGTGGTTATGGGACTGTAAGATTTCTTCTTTGATTGTCCCCCTTGGTACTTTCACCTCAGAGTATGGGAACACTACCATCCTCTCCAGGTCTACTCAAGTCTGTCTCCATGACCACTCCCTGACTTTCCCTGACCTTGCAGGGAGGTGCTCCAGTCCCCCCAGTCCCCAGCACCCAGCACCTGCTAAGAGGGCAGTGCAGCCCTTTTACTAACCAGCTGCTCCAAGCGCAGGTTCCATCTCTCTGGGTGGGTCCAGGCTCCTGAGAAGCTGGTTGCTATGGAAACAAACATCAAAAGAGCAGAATGGTAGAGAGGGTGGTAGATGGGATACACCCAGATCTTTTTATGTGTGTGTGTATATATGCACACGCACACACATATATGCTTCCCTTTATCATGGAGCAGTCTCTACCCCACACATGAGTTTTAATTTTAAATTTCTCCAGTGGGAACAACAGAGTCATTTTTAGCTGCCTGGTTCGGGAGCCTTTGAGTGGCCCCTGGAATCCATGAGGATCAGCAGGAGCCGAGCTGGGCTGTGCTTGATTTAAAATTGGAACCCAGGAGGCAGAGGGGTGGCTTTATATAGTCTAGGAGGTCCAGGAGCCTCAGCCCTGATTTATGAGAAGCTTGGTGCAAGCACATGGCAGCAAAGGCAATATTTATAAATTCTTTCCTCAAGGACAGATGGAATGTTCTGAGCAGCAGTCAGATAGCACCTTTGGCAGGGGTGGGTAAAAGGAATTAGCTGTTTAAGTCCAGTTATTCAGTGAGAGGAAGAAATGTGGGTGAGAACTGCCTCAAAGTCTGCTCCAGGAGAACAGAGGGTGAGGGGCATGGATCTGTAGCCAGCTCCTCCCTCCCAACCTCAGGGCCTCCCTCAGTTAGGGAGGATACAGTGGCTCCTTTCTGTGGTTCCAGCCCCCTGGCCTCCCCTGCCTTGCCTAACTAGGCTAGGGAGCTACATCTGGTGATTATGGTAACTACTTTAACAACAAGACATTTATCTAGGTGTCTGGGGGCAGAACAGTTCCTGGCAGCATGGGGAAGAAGAAGGAAAAGAAGATGAAATGAGAGCTGGGAGGGTGGGGGTGTGTCCCCAGGCCCTGAGTCCAAGCTGATGTGTGACAGGATGCACCCAGCCTGCTTGGTTGGTGCCTGTGGGGAGGGTTGGCATGGCTGCCAAAGCAGGGGACTGCCCTAGAATCAGGGCATGTCTGCCCAACCCTGTCCCCCTTGGGCCTGGCAGCCCCATCCCTAACCTAGCAGGTTGGGAGAAGGGCCATAGCATGTGGCCAAGCAGGTTGATGATCTTGTTCAAATGAGCAAGAATGGTGGAAAAACAATTTTAAAAAAATTGTATTTAGGAATGTAAACCCAAGGGAGGGAAGGAAGCGTATTCAATTTGGCAGGACCACCTTGACCATGTTACCTTAGATTTCCCATGTTGGAAGAAGAGAACTCCATTTATTACTAATCTGCTTTCGAGGGCTCCCACAGGGATGTGATTCCTACCTTATGCTTAGAGTCATGAGAGCAGTGGTGGCAATGACAGGGTGGATGGCCTGAGGTCTCTCTGGAGATGGGGGAGAAATGGTCACCTCCATCAAGCCTGTCTGTACCCCATCTGTGGCCCAACTACTGGGGCTGTCACTGGAACACCTAAGGGAGGGTCAGGGCTTGTCAGGAGGTCTTGCCATATACTGGCCTAGTCCCTGCCCTTGCCCCACGGATTCTCTAAAAATCTCTCAAGTGTGTTAAAACACAATTACAGAAGAATTTGCTGTATTACCAGGAGCCTAGGTAGAAGCCCAAAGAGATACTTGCTGGCCTTCCAGCTGAAGGTGATCAGGCATAAAGGTCTTCGTACTGCCCAGGGCTTAGTGAGGCTGACACCGGCAAGGAAGGAGGCAGAGTGCCAACAGCCCAACAGGGTGCAGGCCAACTACTATAAACCAGTTGACATTGGTCATGGAGAGAGACCCTGACCCCATCCTTTCCCACCTGTTTTTTTCCTTCCTACAGCATTTAGGAGATGCCCCATGAAAGACACTGAGATCGGAATCACATTCATCTGTGGGGGTTATGTCAATGTTTCCTTTGGCAGGTGGAACCATAATGAATGTCGGAACCTCTGAAGTGATGACTAGTTTGGTTCTTATGCTCACCGGTGCCCTGAGGGAGCTGTGTCCAGTGACATCTGGATGCTTTGACCTTCACTCATGAGCTCATTCCCGACTTCACATGCAGGCGTGCCGCTGATCCTGACTGCTGAGGACTGAGGGGATGACTGGCTCACAGGGCCAGTCTGCAAGGCCGGGCCACAGAGCACCACCCTCCTCTTCCACCAGTGGCCTCACAGCTGCATCTCACTGGGGCCAGTTCTACCCGACACCTGCCCCTGAAGCCCCCTCAGCTCCTGCCCTCTTCTGGCCTCATCTTTTCCCATGGACTATTCCTAGGGGTGGAACTATGTTGCCAAGTCTCACAGTGTTAGAGCCAGCAGGGGGATTCCACAGGTGATGGCAATAGTAGCTGATGTGTGTTAAGCACCAACTGCATGCCAGGTGGTTTAAGACTATTTCTAATCCCCACAAATACCCAAGACAGGCAGCATGACAATCATCAGGTCACAGTGGAGTCAATGAGGCGTGGTGTGGCAGTGAGTGGTCAAGGGCACAACCTTGCATTCGAACCCATCTCTGTCATTTACCAGCCGTGGGACATTGGGCTGGTTTCCTGAGCTTTCTGTGCCTCAGCTCTCATTGGTAAGATGGGAAGCCACTAATAGCAGCTACTGCTTAGTATGGCAGTGAGCTTACTGTGCACGCAGAGCGCTCACAACTGTGCCTGGCCAATGGGAGGGACTGCATGAGTGTCAGCCCTCATCACAGTGAGGCTAAGGGATTTGAGCACAGTCAGCAGCAAGAATCACAAGGCCTGAAATCCCTGCCTATCTGGGTCCACATTCCTCATTTTACACAAGAGGAAACACACATGGTCAGGAGGGGCTGTCAAGGAAGAAGGACTTATCCAACACTGGCCAGCTGCTTTGTGACTGTCCCAGGGCTGGTGGCCAATTCTGATGATCCCCAGTGTAGTGTCTGTCCTCCAACACATGGCCTCCTTTGAAACTAAAATAATCTCTAAGGGGGCTCCTTCAACCTCTGGGTTATCCGATGTGACCTCTGGTAGCAAGAAAGCAACTGGCTCTTGCCCCACACTTACTGGACACACAGTTAGTACTTTCTACTCCTCACCTTCTTCTAACCACAGAGCCAGCACAGCAGCAGGGAGTGAATGTAGGAGAAACGCCAACAGTGATCAGAGCATCTTTCTGGCTATAATCATCGCCTCCGACCTTGAAGAGGCTGAATGGATTTTCAACCACTGTCTGCTGCTGACTAATTCATTTAATTTGAAATAAAAATTCAAAATTTACCTTACCCAGATTTCTCCCTTTATGCTATGCTTACCAAGACAAGACTTCACTGCATTTTCAAAAGACTCAAAAGTGGAGATTTCAACATCATTTCAAACCTGGACTTAACAAAGATCATTTCAGGAAAAAAAAAAAAAGAAACATTATAGGAACAGAAGCACTTTATTTATTCCCCCTGAGCTTCCCTCTCCCTTTCATTAAAATTTCCCTCCAAGTAGATGAATACAGACATGTCACAACCGAATCTGGGTTTACTCCCACCTTCAAAAGATGAATCACAGAGGTCTGGCGAAGACAGAGAGGAACGGGCGGGCACCCTGTGGAAGGGAAGTGCTGTTGTTTCTCAGGAGGCCTGGTCTCCATTGTCAGAGTCTCTGTCATCACCCTCACACTAGGGTGAGATTTCTTTCACCTGCAGAAGATGAAGTCTGAGGGCTATAGCTGCCCAGGTCCCAGTGCCAAGTGCCTTTTAGGTCCCTGGCCCAGAGGACTCTGTGATGTCACAACTTACTGATCCTTCTGCTCATTGTCCATGTAGAGAGCCATCACTTTCCTTCTAATCCTGAGGGATAGAGAACCCAAGGTTTGCTGGGCTTGCAGCAGCCTGTGTCATGCTGGGTGAGAACAGGGTTGGGGAGGTTGGCAGGAAACAGGAAACAAAGTGAGATGCAGAAACAGGGCCTGACTTCACCTTGCCCAAGAAGAAACAGTGCTGGAGGACGCTGGTGGGTGGAGGAAGCAATGCGAGGCCCGAGGCTCTTGAGGCAGCCAGAGGCAGATAGATCCCCAGCAAAGCAGAGTCAGGGCAGCCTGACTGGGCTATGGCACCTGCCCGCCCCTCACTTGGAGACCAGCATGCGTACAAACTCCTCGTAGTTGACCTGCCCATCCCCATCCACATCTGCCGCCCGGATCATCTCGTCCACCTCCTCGTCGCTCAGCTTCTCTCCCAGCCTGGTCATCACATGTCGCAGCTCGGCTGCGCTGACCAGGCCATTGCCATCCTTGTCGAACACGCGGAAGGCCTCCCGGATCTCCTCCTCGTTGTCCCTGTCCTTCATTCTCCTGGCCATCATGCCCAGGAACTCGGGGAAGTCCACGGTGCCGTTGCCGTCCCGGTCGATCTCGCTCACCATGCCCTGGAGCTCGGCTTGTGTGGGGTTCTGGCCCAGGGCCCGCATGACAGTGCCCAGCTCCTGGGTGGTGATGGTGCCGTCCCCGTCTTTGTCGAACAGGGAGAAGGCCTCCCTAAACTCGGCTACCTGCTCCTCCGTCAGCTGGTCGGCCATTGGAGTTGTGGGGCTGGTGGAGGTGTGGATGCAGGTGCGAGCTCCCCGGCTCCTCTCCCAGCTCTGCAGGACAGCTGGCTGGCAGGCTGGTGATCCAGCCCTGGCTTGACTCACAGACGCTTAAGAAGGAGCAGGGCTCTCACTCACCATTCAGACTCCCCCCGCACCACCCCCCTTGTGTTGCCTGAAGGCCAGGTCCTGTTGGAACAGGAGTCCAGGACCAGGAATGAGGCTGGTCGGCTAATTGAGCTGACGCCAGCGCCTCTGTGTGAAAGGCTGCGACTCTCCACCCCACCGTCACTCAGCTGTCAGGACCCACCACAAGGACACCTTCAGTGAGGTGTGCTGGACAACCTCTAGAGAGATTGATTTGGGTTTTTCCTCCTTGAATTTTTCTTTTTCCTTCCCTCTTCTCCAGTCTTCACACCCTTCACTCAGTAAAATAACCGGCCCTATGCCCTTTCTCACCTTCAGTTGAGGTTTTTGGCAAGAGGAAAAGCAGACGTTGTCTTTGCCTGAAAGGAACTTTCTTTCCTTGTTTTTGGATTCCAATGCCTAAAAGAAGGTCTTAAGCTTCGCAAGAGGGTGTTGCGAGAAGGGAAAGTTTTGTTCTTTAGGTAGAAAGCAGCCTGTCTTTTTAACTTCAGAAAAAAAGCATGAATGGAAGATTTCCTCTAACTCATTCATTCACTCATTCATTTGTAGATATTTATTGAGAGCCTACTATGTGCAGATTCTACCCTAGAATCTGGAAATAGAGCTGTGAACAAGATTGGCAACTCCAAGTCCTCGAGAAGCTTCTGTTCCATCCGTAAGACAGCTAGTTAGCAACTAAATGAATAAGCAAGATACTTGGATAGTTTCGATAAATTCTATGAAGGAAATAAAAGGGGTGATGATGGAGAGAACATGGCGACATATAAAGGTGAAGGAAATTTTCTCTGCAGAGGTGGCACTTGAGGGGTGACTTGAAGGGGGAGAAGAGCCTTTCCAGGCAGTGAAGCTGAGGAAGCTCAAAGTCAGGGGTGGGAGAGGGCTTGGCACAGCCACGGAACATAACAGTGGCCAGTGTGGCTGCAGCCTAATGGGTGACAGGGGAGAAGGAGATGAGGAATGGCAAACAAGCGAAGTGTTGAAGGACAATGAGGAGCTCACATTTTATTCTCTCATCAGTTGGAATCCCTGGATGTTTTAAGCAAAGGCATGTCTGAAAGTCTGGGCCCCTGGTTTTGGGGGATCTGGCACTGAAATAAGGGGCATTTTTACGAGGAGATGTTCTTAAGAAGGTGAAGGGGAATTCACTGAGCACACAGACTCCTCCCAACTCCCAGGGAAATGGCCACCCACAGAGTGAGAAGAGGATGCTTTGCCTGGGTAGAACTGGGAGAGGCCCAGAAAAGCCAGAACGATATTGAGGGAGAGCGAAGTGGGAGGACTGATGCTTCTTCACTTCAAGGCTTACTCTAAAGCTGCAGTAGTCAGCACAGTGTGGTATTAGCTAAAGAACAGACAAAGAGATCAATGGAACAGAGTGGAAAGCCCAGAAACAGAACCTTATATATATAGTTAACTGATCTTTGACAAAGGAACAAGGGCAATACAGTGAAGCAAAGATAGTCTTTTCAACAAATGGTTCTAGAACAACTGGACCTACAACCTTCAGAAAAAGTAACTCAAATGGGTCATAGATGTAAATGAAAAAGCAGAAATATAAAACTCCTGGAAAATAACAGAGGACAAAATCTGGATGACTTTGGGTTTGTCAATGATACCCAGACCCAAGGTCTGTAATTTGGACTTGGGTTGGGTTTAGATATGACATCAAAGGCAAAATCCATGAAAGAAAGAACTGATAAACTGTATTTTATGGTCTGAATATGCACCCCCCCCAAGTTCATATGCTGAAAACTCATCAGCAAAGGGACATTCATGAAATAATACAAGGGCAGTAGCAGGTAGCAGAAGGAAAACCGCTGGACATGGGCAGGTCACTGGCACTCTCCTGAAGAACCAAGGGTGAATCTAGCATCATGGGAAAACTTGTCCCTGAGACAGTCCCACTGATGGATGCAAACTTCAAGGCCAGACAGGAATGTGGTCTTGCTTCCTGTGTCCTTCACCCACGAAAGAGTAAGAGGTCAATGGGTGTCTGTAGGTTTCTGGATCGCGGTGTCATGGCTCTGATACTCAGCCTTCACTTAAGTGTGCTTTTTGAAAGAGCGCATTGAAAGAGAAGTCAGAAAGGATTTTAAACAGCATCACTCACGACTCATAAAGGATAGTGCTGAGATAGACTAAAATGTCACAACTCTCTAGTTAGGAAACTGTGACAGAGGAAATGTTGGTTTCATGGGCTTCTGCGACTCTCCCTGCAGCCTCTCAGTGCGCTGGTTCCCTTGTGGTCTTAGCACCATTTAAACACTTAAAAATCATCGAGGGAGGACTCCAAGATATTTTGTTTATATGGGGTATACCTACCAGTATTTACCAGGTTTATAATTAAAATTAAGAAGAATTTTTAATATTTAAATATATTTTACATATTTATTTGTAACTTAGAAATTTAAAAAAACCCTATTACATGTTAACATAAATGACATAGTTTCATGAAAAATAATTATATTTCCATAACAAAACATAAGGGGAAGAGTGGCACTAAGAAAACAATTTTGCTAATCTCTTTTATGTCTGGCTTTAAAGGACCATGTCTGCACTCCATCTGTGGGGAGATGTCGTTTTGATTTGAAATATGTGATAATCCAACTTCACACAATATTCAGTTGAAAAAGGAGAACATTAAATGACTCTTTTAGATAACTGTGGATATTCTTCCATACCATATCAAAATTTGACAAACAATAATTTCTTAAAAGTCAACTGTAGTGTGGAACCTGAAACCAGGTAAATGGAATTCTCATATTGTTACCTTAAAGTCCATCGATCATTCTTGCATTGTGTATGGATAATTCACCTGTGCGTGATTTGGAAAATATTGGTTCACCAAGTTCTGCAAATCTCCCGAACTGTTGCATCTATAAAAAAAATTATGTCCATTGATATGATCACCAATACCATTAGAAAAGTTTAAGTATTGGAACATCTCAAGCTCATGGTAACAAATATGAAATTTTGAAAATTCTAATTTCCATTGGGAAACTCAGATTTATCATTGGCAACAAATACTGTCAGTTGTTTTTCTTGAAGTGACAGGCTCGCTTCATCCATTTTCCAGGAAATGTCTGCTGCTATCAAGTCTGAGTAACCATAGTTTGTCTATGTTCTTTCCAGTAAAAACGGCATTCCATGAAAAATCTTACCCTGCTACTCATTCAATCACACAAGTGCTTTTCTTATGAGAACCATGGTACTTCAATAATTAGTAGAATATTGAGTATGGGCATTCAAGGATTGGATTTAATAAAATAATTTTACTACTTCTGTAGGAACATTCTTAAGTGAAACTGGCTTTTTAAAAAATTGAGGCTATGTGGTGTTGAAGACTAACTATAACAGCTACTCGCTAGTGCAGGAGACTGGATTCATGCTAAGGGGCTAGTAATTTTACCCACCATTGCTTTTGACCTCAGTGCAAGATGCCAACATGATTAAAAAGGCAAATAATGTCTTGGTACTATGATGAGAATAGTTTTGATCTCCCAGGTCCACTGAAAGAGTATCAGGGACACACTTTCCCCAGCTGGACCCACAGAACACACCTGGAGGATGATGGCTGTGGAGCGTTGGGAAACAGCAGTCTGAACTGTAGGTAGAAGTCCTGGGGCTGGGGGGGGGGTGGTGAAAGGCACTGAGAATACTGAAATCTTGGGAGGGACAGCGTTGGTCTACAGAGTGTAGTATTAATGAAGACCCCAATGGACCCATACTGGGAGAATCCACCTGCTCCAGCTACTTCCTTTGAAGACCAGATGATCCAAAGTATTGCCTTCTCTGAACTGGAGCTTTTGTTAAAAAGAATTCATGCAGCATCCTTGTGAACATACGTCTTCTGCTGGGTGCTGTAGAGAAAGTTACAGATTAGGTAGGGTCCCTCATCTTTTTCCCCTGTGCCCTGCTAGAAGGGCTGTAGCTGAGAGTGACCATGGTTCTCTCTTCCTGTCTTGATTAAATCTTTCACTAGTCCTAATGTTTGCTCATCTATTTCCATTTTCCCCAACACACAATAGAACCTTAGTTATTGAGTGTAATTTATTCCGGACAGCTGTTCAAGAGGCAATTTGTTGGAAAACTGAATCTCCTTCATTTGTCACCTGAGAGACACATGACTGATCATACTGGTATCAGCATGAAATGGTGTCAGGTTAGAGAACTGAAATTTTGTTTGACAACTGAGACTTTTTCTTTTTGGTCTCTGATTCACTTTGTAGAGAACTGAATTGTTCGAGGTAGAAGTCATTAGAGAACCGAGGTTTGACTGTAAATATAAACACCTTTCCTTAGTGTGTTCAGACTGCTATAACAAAATACCAAGACTGGGTGGCTTAATAGCAGAAATTTATCTCTCACAGTTCTGGATGCTGGAAGTCTGAGATCAGGGGCCAGCATGGTTGAGTGAGAGCTGCAGACTTCTTATAGTGAACTAGCTAACATAGCAGAAAAGGCTAAGGATCTTTCTGGAGCTTCTTTTATAGGGGCACTAATGACACTCCTGAAAGTTTCACTCTCATTAATATCATCATCTCTGGGGTTAGGATTCCACATATGAATTTTAGGGAAACAAATATTCAGGCCACAGTACACCTTTACAGTGTAGCATGTATGGATTAACTTCATATTCATTAAGCAATTAGTCTGTGGCAAGCATGTGTTAGCAAGTTATCCAGACAGCCAGGACCATAACATCCAGTCAGATGCCAAAAGGTGACCTCTGAAGACCTCTGGGTAGGTTGGCTTTCATTTCTGATCCAGTCAGATATGCCACACATCCCCATTCCTGGCAGTTGCAAGGCCACCGGGTGTTCTGAGGCCCAGGTGAAGCTTTCCCCCACCCCTCAGGGAAGCCCTCCCCAGCCTCTCCACCTCTATCCCTTTCCATCTCTGCTGGCCTGAGAACATGGACAGAGCCACAACTCTCTTTGTGGGCCTGGAGCACTGCTGGAGGCCCATCTTCTAGAGGGTATCATT